ACGTGATGAACACTAAAAATGCTACAACTCACATACTAACAGCTGTCAAATTTATACACGTGTCTTTTGAAGGTTAGGGCTGACTAAACATCTTGTGGATTTAATACTAGTAGCGCCATCTACGTGCAGGCCAACGAACGTTTCAGTCCACCTTTTATGTCAACTTATTTAAAAATTTGTCAATTTATTTTTTATTTTATTTTTTTGCAATTTTGTTGTTGTGTTCTGCATGTAATGGTATCAGCTGTCAGTATACAGCTCGTGAAAATAGGAGAATGGTACGTTTTACAATGATGATGTTCTTATTTTGCAATTTATTAATTGCAAAACAATGTGCTGTACTATCTTCTGCATTATTTTTTAGTAAATCTTCTTTATTTTCGAATGCTAAATGGGCTGTAGAACTATCAATATCATTACAAAAATTTAACAGTATGAATATCATCAATATCATTACAAAAATTTAATAGTATCAAAATCATCAATATCATTACAAAAATTTAACAGTATCAATATCATCAATATCATTACAAAATTTAACAGTATCAATATCATCAATATTATTACAAAAGCTTAACAGTATCAATATCATCAATATCATTACAAAAATTTAACAGTATCAATATCATCACAAAAATTTAACAGTATGAATATCATCAATATCATTACAAAAATTTAATAGTATCAATATCATCAATATCATTACAAAAATTTAACAGTATCAATATCATCAATATCATTACAAAAATTTAACAGTATCAATATCATCAATATCATTACAAAAATTTAACAGTATCAATATCATCAATATCATTACAAAAATTTAACAGTATCAATATCATTATAAAAATTTAACAGTATCAATATCATCAATATCATTACAAAAATTTAACAGTATCAATATCATCAAAAAATTTAATATCAATAAAAATTTAACAGTATCAATATCATCAATATCATTACAAAAATTTAACAGTATCAATATCATCAATATTATTACAAAAATTTAACAGTATCAATATCATTACAAAAATTTAACAGTATCAATATCATCACAAAATTTTAACAGTATATTCTTAAGGACTATACTTTCGAAATATGGGGAAAAAAATTCGATTTTTGAAAATTCTAGATGACCGGGTCCTTAAATTCTTTTCTGTTTAAGTTCTTTTCAATAAAAACTTTAACTATACATTTTGAAATGGTTATCTTACGTATAAGTAGAGGTTTAATAGGCGCCAACTCTTCTTTTTATGAGTATGGGGCATTTTTACTACTGTCGGCAAATTGAAGACGTTCATTTTGGATTCTATGTCAATCTAGTGAACGAAGATTTGCAATTTTGTTGTTGGGTTTCTGCATATATATAAGTCTCAGAATGCAGTTATTAAATAGTACATGATTAGTACGTTTCACAATGATGTCGTTTTGCTATTTTAAGGCTCGTTTCCACCGAGGCGTTGAAGTGTGGAGCGTTGCCTCACAGCGTTGGCCTGAAACTGGTTGAAATCCACCGCTACGAGTTGCCCATCTTTCAACTCTCAAATGCTTGTCGCGTCACGTGCACTTGGATTGAGCCAATGGTAGATCTTCCGTCTAGTAGGCGTAACTCGAACTTCACTGGGCGTTAAAGCGATTTCTGACACTTCGGTGTGAACGAGTCAAAAAAATGTTCTTCCCTGCCGCATGACGCCTCTCCGCCTCACGCCTCGGTGGGAACGAGCCTTTATGCGTATGGGACATTCTTACTGCCGGCAAATTGAAGACGTCCAATTTGAAACCTTCTATCGTAAGGATTCTATGTCAATTTATTGAACGAATATTTGCAATTTCGTTGTAGTGTTCTGTATATAATCATAAAAGCTGTCAGAATACAGCTGGTAAAAATATGAGAATATTACGTTTTACAGTGATGTTCTTATTTTATAATTTATTAATTGCAAAACAATGGGTTGTACTATCTTCTGCATTATTTTTTAAGTAAAACTTCTTCATTTTCGAATATTGAGATTGGCTGTTTTGCTATTGAATTATTCGTGGATTTACCTTATATACCTAAACGTGTGTATTTCCGTTCGTAGGGAGCTGCAAAATTAAAATGAATCGCAACTGTTGTCGTTTTGCTATTTCACTTTTTCATTTAAGCGGCTACACTCACGGTAAGCACACAAAAATACTACTTTCGTGAGATATCTTTTTCGTAATCTGTATTCCAACTCTTGATTGGAATATCTTATTAAAACCCGACAATAGAAGTCAAAACGGTTTTCACTTACAGACTCTTTTAGGTATTCTTCTAGGTTCCTTCCTGCTTTACTACTATGTCCGAAAAAGTAAGATCCATTTTCAATTTAAATTTCCCGTGAATTATGGTATTTCAATTTTTTGTTTTCTTTGTTAGGTTGCTGCCACTGTCCTTGACATCTGTGTGGAATTTGGCGTCAGATCATTCATTATCATTATTATATGCAAGCACCAAATTTTTTAACTGTTTATACCACTTGTAAACATTCCTTTCCGATATAGGAATGCTCACCGAATGCCTTCTGCAACGTTCTATGCGTTTCCGCAAACAAAATTGAATGCAAGTTCTTTGCTCAATTAAAAAAATCAAAGCGTTTCAAAAATCGCAGGAATCCGTTTGAGCGTCTCCAAAACCAAGCGTAAATCAAACACCAATGAATATTTTGACATCATATTTCACACAGATGCCAAGGTGCCACCAGGTGCCAAGATGTCACACTGCCAGCAACCTAAAAAAGAAAAAAAAAATTGAAATACCATAAGCCCCGGGAATTTTAAATTGAAAACTGATCTTACTTTTTGGACGCAGTAGTATTTCTTTTCAATAAAAATGTTACCTATACATTTTTAAAGGCTAGTCTTACGTATAACTAGAGGGATATTAGAGAGTTTTTGCATACCGTACGTTAGTTACCGTAGGACGTCCGTTTGCTTTTTGCCTAGCGCGCATGCTCAGTAAGAAACTGAGCATGCGCGCTAGGGAGAAAAAGCAAACGGACGTCCTAGTGTACTAACGTACGGTATGCAAAAACTCTCTAATGGATTTTAATTCTTTTCTTATACGTATGGGACATTTTTACTGTAAGACGTCCATTTTAAAACCTTCGATCTTATGGATATGGATGTCCATTTATTTAACGAAATTTGCAATTGTGTTGTTGTGCTCTGTATATAATCATAAAAGCCGTCAGAATACAACTGGTAAAAATATGTTAATAGTACGTATTACAATGATGTTGTTCTTTTTTTTTTTTTTTGTGTTTTATTAATTAGCTTCATTTTATTTTAATTACAAAATAATGGATTATACTATCTACTGCATTATTTTTTAGTAAAACTTATTTATTTTCGAATGTTAAGATTGGACATTGTTATGTTGACACATAACACATTGTTATGTTATAACATTGTTATGTTAACACATTGTTATGTTATAACATTGTTATGTTATTGACTTATTCGTTGATTTACTTTATATACCTAAATGTGTGTGTTGTTGTTAGTTGAACGCGGCAAAATTATAATGAATCGCAAGTGCTGTCGTATTGCTATTTTAAGGCTCGTTTCCACCGAGGCGTGGAGCGTTGCCTCACAGCGTTGGCCTGAAACTGGTTGAAATCCACCGCTTCCTGTTGACCCACTTTCAAATCTCAAATGTTTGCAGCGCCATGTGACTTGGATTGAGCCAATGGTAGATCTTCCATCTAGTAGAAGTGACTGGAACTTCACTGGGCGTGGAAGCGATTTCTGACGCTTCGGTGTGAACGGGTCGAAATAATGTTATTTCCTGCTGCATGACGCGGCGCCGCCTCACGCCTCCGTGGGAACGAGCCTTTATGCGAATTGAAGACGCAAATTGAAGACGTTCATTTTGAAACTTCCGATCAAATGGATTCTATGCCAATTTATTGAACGAAGGTTTGCAATTTTGTTTGTTGTGTTCTGCATATAATCATATAAACTGTTAAAATATAGCCAGTAAAAGTATGTTATTAGTGCGTCTTACAATGATGTTGATCTTATTTTGTATTTTATTAATTAGTTTCATTTTTTTTTAATCACAAAATAAATTTTTTTTTTTTACTATCTTTTGCATTATTTTTTAGTAAAACTGCTTTATTTTCGAATGTTGAAACTTTTTTGTTATATTTTTTCAGTTACTTTTTTTCTGTTGCCTGCACATAATGAGCGACATTGGACGATATATTTTTGTCTTGACATAGTTTTACGTTTTTTTTTAATACGTTGAATCTCTTCAATCGACTAGAAACGGTGTGGTTTTTTTGAGTTTAGGGAATAGCCAGAAGTCGCACGGTGTGAATATGGTAGTTGTGGAACAATATGGGTTTTGGCGAAAAAGTCCCGAAGAATCAATGAAATGTGAGCTGCCGCATTCAGTGTTTTCGGTACTCATCAAGATTTGACGAGTTTGAGGCCCAAATTGGAATGAACCGATCCTTTTGAAATTCCAACATAGTTTATAGAAGGGAAGGGTACAATTTTGTATATATATATATATATATATATATATATATATATATATATATACTTCTATTGTCGCATTTTTCTCCTATTCAATCTATTTTTAACTTTTTTTTTGCTTTTTTTTTTTTAATTACTTTTTTTTTTTTTTTTTTTTTTTGCCGGCAGATAGGAAACGACATTGGATGTTTTTGATGTATATTCTTGTCTGTTGTTGTTGTTTTGTTGTTGTTTCTTATCCCACTGGGCCCAAGCCCATATGGACTCATGATTGAAGTGGAAGGAAGCAGCTTCTGTTGTGATGGAGCACCCGTAGGTAGAAGTCTGACTGGCTTCTGACGCTCTTACAGTCATAGGAGACCGGGACGTTGGCATAAAGTGGATATCGAACCACTTTCAAACATCCATGGCACTGCCGGTTCGAACCCGAAACCTTTTCACCGAGCGCCAGAGCGCTTTCACTCGGCCATTCAGGTCCCAAATGTGTGAATGCCAACGGCACGCGGTGTCCCCAGGTGGTCACCCACCCAAGTACTGACCGCGCCCAATGATGCTTGACTTCGGTGTATTATTCTTGTCTTGACATAATTTTATGTGAATTTTTTTAAACATCTTATTGCCACAGAAATGTTTACGAATGGATTTTTATTTTATTTTTATAAAACGAAATATACTTTTCGAGAGTGAAAAGTCGGTTTTTAAAAAGGTTCTGCATAATTGACAAGATTTAAAAATTAATATTATTATTTTATATTTCTAGACATTTTTATGTAAAAATCTACTTTTTTCCTGAAATTATGGTTTTATAAATTAAAATTAAAAAGAAGAAAAATAATAATGTTTAGAGTTCATTTAATATTAAAATAACTGCTAACACTATAGCCGTTAGCACACATTTTTCTTTAAATCAATTGCTTTCCTACTATTGTTTAGTCTCTGTTGTAACTGGTAATTATCCTATTGTATGTGGGCAGGGTGTATTTCCTTTTTTTTTTTTGGATGAATCCAGGAAGGGTAGATGACGCTACCTCCCGTTCCCACGGGGAGGTCCGAAAGAACCGGTCGGGTTGGTGGGGGTGATAAAAGACCCCTTTTGAGTTTTGCGGGCCGAAAGGAAGACCCCGTTGGGGAAGGAGAGAGAGAACTATCTGCGACAGTGCGTGAGCCTGGTACACATATTTTTTGCTGCGAGAATGGCTACATGGAGAATCCATCTTTATATTTGCTGCGAGCCCCTTCTGAGATCGGTTTTCGACGCTACTGGTAAATCACTGCCTACACACACGGGAATATTTCGTTTGAGGTCTGCGTAATATTATGATTATTTCTCTGTAAACATTTGTTATTTATTCTGTTTTAAGTGCCAATTTAAAATCCTGTAAAAAAAATCTAAATTTAAGTGTAATTGTATATATTAGTATTCATTAAAAGTAAAAGTAGATTAGTTGTTTGTTTTAGTATCAATTTTCGTATTTATTTTAATTGCTTTTTATTAATGTTAATTTATTTGTCCGTCCTGCGAGTATACGTAGACTAACGGCATCATTTCTATGTCGGTTCTAACAGTCTCCTCTTCGTTGAAAAATATTTATTTCTGTTAAGACCCGAGGATGCAAATGTCAACGATCCGCCGCGTATTTTCTGAATCTATTGTTTTATGTCACACTTATGAATTTAGAAAATTACATGGATTACAATAATGAAACTTTTTGGCTAAAAATTTGTAGCAAAAATTTCGGAAAAAAAATCGTTATTTTTTTATAATGTGTAAACATTATGTTGTCCTGGTTAGGGGTTCGTGGTGTAGCAAGCAAATAAAGTTCCATTCCAGATTTGCATATTTTGGCGGGAAAATGGTAGTTTGGGCCCCTTAGCTCTTAAAATGATTCATGAATAATTTTCTGAAGAATTCGGCTTTTGTTTGAAGTGCTTTGTAGTACGGTTTTGAATCACTTTTCATGTTTTGGGTTGGGATTTTAAACATTTGTACATCCAATGGCTACAAGTACTCGTAGTGTGTTGACCAATTCCTTCTTCTTGAAGTTTCATATTTATCACATTTTGGCATTTTCCCATGCCTATTGAGTTGTATAGTGCTTCTTATCGTATTTGGAATAGAATTGGGAATAAGTCATTTTTCATTTATGCCTAGAATTTTCAAACTTTGATATATTCTTTTGGCTATTGAATGTGACAACGTTTCTTGTAGAATTTGGAATACTTCATTCTTCATTTTTTGCTTAGAATTTTCAAACTTTGATATATTCTTTTGGCTATTGAATGTGTATAGTGATTCTTGTAGAATTTGGAATACTTCATTCTTCATTTATGCCTAGAATTTTCAAACTTTGATATATTCTTTTGGCTATTGAATGTGACAACGTTTCTTGTAGAATTTGGAATACTTCATTCTTCATTTACGACTACGTTTATCTTACTTTTGAACAATTCTTGAACAATTCACTCTTCATGAAGTTCTTGATCTATTCAACATTGCTCTATTCATGTGGCTATTTGAATTTGTTTGGCTTGTTTTTTTTTCTAATAAAATGAATTTTTTTGCCACTTTAAATAAAGATATTCATTTAATGGACATGATTAGTAAGATACTGTTAACATTGTGAGGACACTGTTAACATTTTACCTTTCAGGTTCACCCATTGGCTCCCACCGTTCAGCATAATTCCCTTGAATGTTATTGGTAAACAAAGATCGTTTGTTCGTTTACGTTTTGAAATATGTTTATGGCATCGACAACTGATCCCTAATTGTACCGAATTTAAAAGTTAACTTTTAAATTCGTTTATTTTTTTATCTTACTTTTTATCAATAGTATTTTAAATCTTTTTTTTTTTTTTTTTTTTTTTTTGAGTACCTACTTTAATTTGAATTTTTAGAAACTTATATCTTAAATTTTACTAACAATAATTAAGCAGCCTATTAAAATTCCAAACCTATATATGTATCAAGATGAGGAGGTTTAAGGGGTATTTCCCCCTGTTGGTACTCCGTAATCGGTACGCCAGTTGCCAGTTGCCAGATTAGTAGTTACCATTCCGCCTGGTAACAATGAAATACGAACATTCTATGAGACGCCAGTTGCCAGTTGCTAGATTAGTAGTTACCATTCCGCCTGGTAACAATGAAATACGAAAATTCTATGAGACGCCAGTTTCCAGTTGCCAATTTGTTTGGTTACCATTTTTTTTGGTAACAATGAAATACGAAAATTTAAATGAGACGCCAGTTGCCAGTTAATGGACATTAGTAGTTACCATTCCGCCTGGTAACAATGAAATACGAAAATTCTATGAGACGCCAGTTGCCAGTTGCCAGATTAGTAGTTACCATTCCGCCTGGTAACAATGAAATACAAAAATTCTTTGTTCGAGACGTTTTGCCAAATTATGTTTATGGCATTCCAACGCCTGGTAACAATGAAATACGAAAATTTAAAAACGCCAGTTGCCAGTTGCCAGATTAGTAGTTACCATTCCGCCTGGTTCAATGAAATACGAAAATTTATGAGACGCCAGTTGCCAGTTGCCAGATTAGTAGTTACCATTCCGCCTGAAACTTATATCTTAAATTTTACTAAAATTTAAGAGACGCCAGTTAAAATTCCAAGATTATATGTACCATTCCGCCTGGTAACAATGAAATACGAAAATTCTATGAGACGCCAGTTGCCAGATTAGTAGTTACCATTCCGCCTGGTAACAATGAAATACGAAAATTCTATGAGATGAGCGCACACAAACCGATGCGAAGTTCTATGTGGATTTCCAAGCGCAGTTGAAAGGCACATTTCGCTTGCGTAGCAAATTTTAGAGGGGATTTTACTAAAGCGCGGGTTTTCTGCGCCAACCACATCGAATCGTGAATTTTAATGACAATTATAGTATAATTTTATTATAGATATTTTTCCATTATTTTTTTATCTATTATATATAATTCCCGTGTCACGATGTTTGTTCGGGACGAACTATGAAACTAACAATCCGATTTTAACTTTTTTTTTTCTTAAATGTGTTTTTGTTCTAACTTGAGAGATAGGATAGTTTTTACTAAGATTTTTTTTTATTTAAATGCAAAATCGACGATTTTCATATTTTGTCTTTTGGCGCAACTAAAATTTTGCGATTTCTCATCTGATGGACGTAATTTTGAAAGTACATTCAAAATACAAGGTCAGGTGTACCATAAGATCGGGTCGTTGATGCCATTACCTAACGAAGAGCCAAAATTTCTTCAAATTTATTTTATGGGCAGTTCTGAATAGGGTGACAACTATTCAGAACTGACAACTCGACAACTCGATGTCAGTGTAATTTTATCGAACAAGCAAGTACAAAGAGCTATTGTAGAATTGTTGGAAAATCTTTTAGAAAATCATAAACAACTTATTAAATTATTTAACGAATTTATTTATTTTGACGAAAGACAGATTAACAAGAAATAGTGTTCATCGCTTAGTTCTTAGATAAATGAAAGTAATGATTATTAAAAATTAAATTTGGTAAAATAATTATAAAACAGTGTTAAAAATTCTATTCGTTTCTATTCGTCAGTTTTCTATTCGTTAAAGCTTAATTTGAACTTTTCATCATTCTTTACTTATCACTTTCTCTAGAATACCAATTATAGTATCTAATAATTGAACGAAATACAAGAAAGCCACAGCAACGCGTGGCTAGTATTCTATATATAAGTATACTTAAATGATTCATCGAATAATAAGATAATAATTTGACTAACAATTACGACTCAATTTTTGTAGTACTATTCCTGTTTAAATAGCGTCTTTTACATTCAGTGCTCACTATCTTCGCCGATAGATGGCAGCAGCGTCTCAATGAAAAAAGCATTTTACGCTAAGTCTGTTCCATTAGAACAGCAACTACAAAATCGAGTGTCAGCTGTGCCGCAGGAAATCGATGTGGCCAATCAGAAAACAGCACCGGCATTGTGTACATCCGGGTCCTGAAGTACTGACCTTCCTTGAAACATGCTTGTGTTTCTTCCGTACCCTAGTTTTGTACTCGTTTTCTAGGATGCTTATAGGAGGTCATTTCGAATACTCTTATTTAAATACACTGAATTCAACATTTAAAAAAAAAGAAAAAATTGTACACTCCGTTTTTATTTAAAATTACATTTCAAGAGATAAGAATGACCAATTATCGAAATGACATTATTTTAATTCCTTCTATTAGCTCACACTCTCCCTATACTTTTAACAGTACCTCCTCAATGTTCTACGATCCTGTTAGATCGGGACTTACATTTTAAAGTGGATTCCGAACCACTATAAACATCCATGGCACCAGAACGCTAGCCACTCGGCAATTTAGGCCCATAATTAACTACTTAATTTAATAAGTAATATTAATAATACTCATGATTATAAAAGTATAATGTCAGTAAATGAATAGTGATGACATTAGCAAATTATTTTTAAATAATTAATTTGATCTATGATTATTTTTATTTAATTTTATTTTTAAAAAACTAACTACAATTTGTTAAAATTCTGTTTGTTGCAATTCTATTTGTTTGATGCGAGT